TTATATTTTAATTAAATGATAGTTATTTTGTGAATTTTATGTTTGTAGCAATTTGGTATACGTTTCAGTTGAAGTAAACGTGCATGGAAATAATTTAAATATTTGACACTAAGTATTTGTAACCATTTTTAATGTTTAATATGCAAAGTGTATCAAAGTGTATCAATGGTTGCGGTAGAAATTCGTTGGCGACATTTATAATATAATAGATAATTTAGAGGTAAAAGTTTTTGGATATTTTATTTATTTTATACGTGGAAATGTTCATCCTTGGAAAGGGTATATACTTTTTTGCGATCAGGTAATTTCATACATGTGCTTTTTACCGAGTTTAAAGATTCAGAAAATTTTCCTGCATTTTCGTGCAAATTTTTGTAATTTATGAGAAAATAGCAGTGTAGATGGATAAAGTTAAGAGTGTGTGCAATGCCCATTTTGTGCAATTCTGGGATTTTTTTTAAGTAAACATAAGTCGACGTGTAATTGGTTTATGTGTATGTGCTATTCTGAAAAATGCGCAAGGAGTTTGCGACTGTGCACTTTTTCCCAATTTTGCAGTTAATATTTGTCATGATTAAGCAGTTTTGTTACATAAAATTTCTAGCATAAGTGTAATTCGGCTAGTAGATTGTTGGAAAAAGTGTTGAGTAAATAAAAAGAAAAGAAACATGTCTTTACTTCGTGAAGACAAAATGGAAAAATAAGAGGGTTGTTGTAGCAGAGTTGGTCGCCAAGTTACCATAATCCAAAGATCAACCGAAACAATCTTCACACACTGTTTATAATCTTTGGAATATGGTAACAGGTAGTTTGGCGACATTTTGGTAAGGCGATAAAGGTTACTAGCTAGGACTTTAGCAGTGTACATGGATAAAATCAAGAGTGTGCGCAATGCCATTTTTTGCAATTCTGGATGTTTTTTTAAGTGAAAACAGGTCGACGTGTACATGTTTACCATGTATGTGCAATTCTTAAAAATGGGGAAAGCAGTCTGCGATTCTGCACTTTCTCCCAATTTCGCACCTAATCTTCGTCATGATTAAGCACTTTTGTTGTTCTAGCCTAAGCGTAATTCGGCTAGCAAATTGTTAGAAAAAAATATTGAGTAAAAAAAAAATGCCTTTACTTCGTGAAAACAAAATGGCTTCCAAACAAAAACTAGCAGGTTGCTGTAGCAGGGTTGGTCGCAAAATTTTCGCCAAAAAATTGTCAAGTTACCATAATTCAAAGAATAACCATTAAAAGTTCTCCACAAGCAATGTTTTGCACATGGTGTTCTGTGATTGGTGCTTCTACTATCTATACCTGTAAATTATGCAAAGTGTATCAATGGACCTCCTTTCTGTGTTGCCTTTGGTCCTTTACAATGTTGTACTTTGCAATAGTTTACACCGACAATTTTTGTCATGTATTGTTTCAACATCATTTATGGTTTTCAATGAGCATCAAAATGTGGGTGTTGCCATTTGAAAATTTCAATATTTTTCCACTGTAACCATAACCATGAGAGCTGTACTGTTTTAAATTATCACAATCTTGAGTTCATACCTTCAAATAAAAATATCTGAAATTTCATTTCACTTGCTTGAGTGGATAGGCCACTAAAAGTTCACGTATTAGGGAAGTTTTTTATGACCACACTGTATTACCCAATTATTGCAAGTTAATTATTACTGTAATTACTGGTTTTACAAGATTGCCACTCTTGACAACTGATCTTCTGATTCTGGTGAATGATCTAGGTGACCACTTTAATGAGAAATTAGTAAATTGACTCCTCTTCCGGTCACCATGAATATAAATGAATATCACAGAAACATCCCACAACCAGCTTATTCACCAGGGTTTCAATATGGACTGAACTTTCGGTGTTCTGCAATCTTAGCCACTAGTTTAATTATATTCAACTAACAATCATCTGACCCAAAATGATAGCCTTAAACAAAACTGTCCTACGATACATACAAAAAGAAAAACAAAAATGCAAAAGATAACAGCAGTGATATAGATGATATTTCCAAGTTGTTTTTATCCACAATGGCATGTAATTTAACTGTACATTTTCCTGAAGATATAAATACTACAGTCAAAAGTCTTTAATCCGGACTCGTCGGGACTTCAGCGATTCCGGATTATAGATCATCAGTTTAAATCTGGTAAGATGGCATGCAGAAATTAAAAAATTAAAAATATGAAACCGTAATTTATGAAATAAAGAGCAATTATGATCTAAAGGGTATCAAAATTTACAAAAAAAAAGCTTAATATTTATTTGTTTACTTTATTAAACATTTCTTTCAACGTGCGCATGCATAAAGCATACATTACGCATAGTCGAAATCAGAAAATTGCAACCAGAAAAACTATTGATGTGTACTCGTGATATTTATAATGACGAGCATATCAAAGACGGAATACATCGAGATGAAATACTACATTTAGTAAGAAATTAAAAGCTGAATAAAATAAAAACATCTGGTCTGAAGATAAGGATTGTGCTGACAGATCAACTTCCAGTTCATTGCGCGCCGCGACGTCCCCCTCCCTCCCAGCAGAGCAGTGTGAAATTGATAAACAGATTTTGGAATGGTTAGAGAAACAAAGGATATGCCTTTATCCATTTTTTGCAGCAATTCCACTTTTTGTTTGATGGACATCGAAACATACTTTCGCTTTGTAGATCCTTTGGCAGCTCCAGCATCGGAAATTCTATTTGACATAATCGAAAGTTCAAGCTTACTTTTATAAAATTGCTCTAACAGTCTGCAAAAAATAATAAGCTATATCCAATTCGAAGATTAAGGAACAACGCAATCTGCGACATTAACTGAAATAGATAATTAGATCATTTTAGCTTTACTTATACTGCCCGTTATACATTAAACCCGCATGCGTAAATGTTTTATGCACATGCGTGAACGCATTATGCGTTGATGCATGCGCAGAAAGTTTGTAGCTTTGAGGTCCGGATTATCGACTTTTGACTGTATACTACAAAAAAGAAAGTTTTAACCTACCTTTTTTACGAGAGTTGGAATTTAATGACATAGTTCAAGTTCTCTATTTAATATTGTAATTTAATGTCATTTATAATTTAGTTTCTTCATATCTAACAATGCTTAATTTTTTGCTATTTGCATTGCCTTTTTTCTCCCTTCTAACACAATCCAACTAACCTATTTTTCACATTAAATTGGTTGGACATACAGGTAAATTCTTGACAGTATTTTAATTACATTAAATAATGATTAGTTATTACCTCTTTCCTGTACTTTTTTATCTGCTTTTGGATTAATCAGGATGTTATGTTAATTGCGAATGTCATTCCTACGTTACCTATGTTCACTGGAAAGTTGTGTGTATTTCCTAGTTTCTAATAAACTTTGTACACATATTAATACAGATTACATATTAAAAACTGAGATTATATTTTTATTATGACAAAATATCAGGATATCTGCTTTAGCACAGAAGCCTTCTCTGTTATATAGTTATATTACATGTGAGAAAAACCACGAAAATTCATTTAACTGGTAGAAATTCACCCATAGACGAAAATTAATGTTTCGAGATTTTATTCATTTGTCTACTGATATATCACAGTGGAAGTATAGCTAGATAAGTGCCAGATTTAATATGCCCACAAAAATAGAAAATACTCTTACATGCTTACAAAGGCAAATGTTCTAATTTATGAATGTTGAATTGACCAGGATGGCATTTTACAGTTTAGCCAACCTGGAGTGCTACATAAGGGGGAACAGTGAGTTTTTATTGTGAAAACTTATTACAAGTATGGTGAGTGTTACACACAGAACTTGAACAGTATTTTCTCCCGCCTTTCTGTAACGGCAGCACACTCGGCGCGTATTCGAGAAGTCCAGGTTCAAGTCCTGACGAGAGTATAGCTCATTTTTCATATCTCCCTCTTAAAATAATAATAATAATAATAATAATAATAATAGCTCTGTAGTGGTGCCTGAACTAAAAAAGGTTCAAGATGATGATTCTTCACCACCAGGATTTGCGATTGGTATTTTCTTTCTTCCTTCTGCATGCCTTTATGGTGTAAAGATAGCATACTCGGCACGTATTCGAGAGGTCCAGGTTTAAACCCTGGCAAGAGTATTGCTTATTTTTCATGTCTCCTGCTTCCCAAAAAAAAAAAAAAAAAAAAAAAAAAAAACCTAATGACTCTACAAACTTTTAGGAAGTTTTATGCAATCTTTTGACAATTGCAATATTTGCAAAATTTATAAAGGAATTTGAGGACACACATTTCTCAGCAGATATTAAACCACCATGCTCTTGAGGCATGCAGTATCTTGAACACACCGCTATTGTGCACGATAGTATTACTGCAAATCACAAATAATCCAAACTTAAAGAGTAAAACTAACAGAACTTAAAAGGGAAATTACTGAGCTGTCATTAATCACCTTGATAGGCAGATATATGAAAAGTGAGTATGTATTTCATTGGGTAAATATAGGGCTATAGAACATGATCTAAATAAAATAGTAAATATAGGGCTATAGAACAACAAAGGCCGGATAATATTTTTCATTCTTAAATCTGAATATTTATCAGTTGTCGGTATGAAAAGTATTTTCCATTTTCTAAAAATAAAGTATTCTATTGGGCATATTGAATCCAGTATTTTCATTGAGACACTCTTTACAATTTGAGGATATACATAACTAAATATTGCATCTGAATCTTAAAATACTTTCTGACAATACATTTATATTAAATAAATCACTCTATCTCAATTTCAGTATTGCCTTTATATACATATATATATAAAGATTATATATGTGGTAATATGATTTTTACTGAATATGTAATATGTAATATTTACTGAATATGTAATAAGATGCTAAATAGATTTTTTACTGAATAATGTGGAAAAATACAGTTGAATTTCACTTAATGAATATGAAAATCCACAACTATCTTAAAATAGTTATACACATTTAAATTAATACTTTAATACTTACTCTAAAAAAAACTACAGATAATCTAAAAGTGATAAAACCTTTGCTACAGTAAAAGTAGATAACAAGATAGTTCACACATCATCAACTCCTCACACAACACCAATTTCATTTGCTGAAAAAAATGGATTAATTAGCAAGTGTACAGAAGTATAATTATACATCAAACAACTATCGCAACATTTAGAAACTCTGGTCAATAGTGCAATCGCTAGAGCAAAATCCATTGACAATTATTTAAACATATGACAGTGAAAATGAACTCAAAATAAAAATGTGAAAATAGTCTCTTTGTGCAATTTTCCCTGACACTATTAATTTAAATATTCATTAACTTATTACTTAACTTACTTAAATTTGAATAGATAATTTGCAAAACATTTCCAACTATTTTAAGCAGTAAAGTGTTATGGAAAGCCGCGAAGTACCTTCTAGACTAGCCAATTTTAACATTTTTAATGATGTAAGATATTTTATGAACACTTTACTTCTCCCAGTTACTTTCAAAAACAAGAACCCAATTATTCCGACATTTACGTGTTAATATTTATTCAGCGGTATGGCTACGCCCATTAAAATGAATACAATTACATGTTCGTGTTTTTATGCTTAATAACAGTTTGGAATCTTTGGAAGACATTATTATACATTTACTGAAGCATTATGTATATGAAAAACACTAAATTTTATATAATAAATGTGATAACTGATTTCATCAATACCTTTTTTTTTTCATAATTCATAAAAAATTAAAACTAAATAAGAGCTTACTATACAAGAAACTTCCGAACTCATACAGAAAAATATATTACTATGATCACGGATTCGTATGTCTCCGCAAAATGTGCAAAAACATATGTATAAAGCTAAATATTTGCTTAGATCAATATTTAGCATAAAATAACATGGTTTTTAAAATGACAGTCATCGCTCATAGAACAAGCAAAGAAAACAATTGATAAGGGGGGATTATAAATAATGATAAATATCAGAACTTACAATGACTAAACATTTGATAAAAATTTAAAAAGCACTTGTAATGTGAGTCAAAAAATGTCAAACTACAAACCGGAAGAGTGTTCACAAACGTCACATCCGTCACACCTGTATGTTATCAAATCAGCGCTGCTTCTTCATTTCATTTCTTTAAAAACTGGTGAGACTCGGGCAAATGCTTGCAAATAAAGTTTTGAAAAATTTTAAATTTTCCTCATGTTATATTTTTTATAGCCTTAGATTTATGTCCAAGAACGAATTCGACTCGAAAAGCAATGCATTTCTTTCTGAAAAATAACTTCAGAAATGTCTTCCAAAAATTTAAGCAAACTTTGTAGATTTGATATGTAATACAGATTTTGTTTCTTCCCAGAGGCGTAGCTACGGTTATCAGCGCCTGAGAACAAATGAAGATTTTGAGCCCCTTTTTGTGCGCCACGAATGGACAACACTTCATTCTAAAGTTTCGTACCATCAATTTGGAGCCCCTTTGGATGCTGCGCCTGGGGACAGATGTCCCCTCTTGCCCCACCCTAGCTACGCCACTGTTTCTTCCTTAGAAAATAATCGATTTTACTTCACTAAACACAGTCCAACCGTTAATCGTACATTCTTGGAGTTTGCACAATTATGTACTAACGAGGAATGTGTAGGGAAAATGCAGTTAGCGTTAATTGTTGGATAACTGCTTTAGTGCTGTATTTTTATTGATCTTTGTCTGCTGACGATCAAATTGGATACTGGACTTATTTATCATGTCACTGATCAAGCTAATCTTTACCCGCTTTACTGAAGGCTTTAACTTCCTAAGTAAATTCTTTGCAGTTATGTCTGATAAGGTTCGTGTTAAGTTTTCCCAAGCACATGGAGCCCAGCTAAGCCTCGCGGTAACCAGCTGTGACCAGTTAGCACATCCGTTGCGAGTACGTCTCAGATGAAAAACGCGGCTCTGCCAGTCAAAAAATCAGATGAAGTCACGTGTCCGTCGGAGTCAACTAACTCTGATTACACTGGCCGCCTACTTTTCCTAAGCCGTACTACATAACGGTTACGACATGGAGGTAGGAAGTAAGAAGGAGTCGCCCTAAACAAGTTTCTCCGTACCCTGCTCTGAAGCACCGGCGATCCCTACGTGGTGACCAAAACATTGGGTCATTTACCATTGAGTTCTATGGGTTTTATGGGATAATAATAACTAGGTATTAATAGTATTTGACTTTCTCTACATTTCTGAAAAGGGAATAAAATAAGTTTTTTTTTTTTTTTTTTTTTTTTTTAACTATATTTAAAACTTGAACTGAGTTATATAAAATGTAAAGGGAATATTCTTTTAATTATACTTATCAGATTTTTTTTTTACCCTTCATTTCAATACATATTCCAAAACTCTTATTACGTTTAAGTGCCCTTATAGCATTGTTTACAATACCTTTAAACAGATGCTTTCCAATACGAACAATTCTTGCTTAAATAAATAGTTTAACGTATTGTCAACAGGATTTCAATTTATGTTTACAATTCAATATTAAGGTTATTATATTTAGATAACATTTATAATCATATAAATTAGATACATTTAATGATTAGATTTCTCACAGTACTTTCACAGTTGTTATAAGTGAATAAATTCTTCATTCAAATACATTATAAATAATTAATGAATATTAAGTATTTTGTCAAAGGCAGATACATGCTTTTGCAAGCACATGCATAAATAACCATACATATTTCCTATTTATCATTTCGGCATGCGCAAATCTTTAATTTCTGTGCATTCACTATATTTTTGTGTAAAGTAATTACACTAATTAGCATAACCCGAAAGTTTTACATAAAAAATATATAGAATATAATTGAATGAAAAATTATAAGTATTATTTTAATACCCACTCAAAGGTCAGTTTTTCTTCAAAATTCCTCCAGATGGCATCTCTCTCTTTAGGCAGATAGCCCTTGCATGCGTTACTCTATTTAATAAAAACTTAATCTGACCTATGTGCCTAATTACAAATATTTTAACATACATAATTTTATATTTAATTTAGCCATCAAGTTCAAACTTTTCAAATCTTCTAGAAAATAAAATTTTGGCAGATCTCTTTTAGCAATTTTCTTAAAATCTATATTTTGTAGTAAAACAGCTTAGAATTTATAAAACAAATTCATAATCAAAATCGCTGTGTTAGTTATCGAAAAATAACCAAGATGTGATTTTTGCGTAAATGTCAGTAACTATACAAATTGCTATTATCCACACACTATGAATGTTTCTTCATGCGAGAGTGTCCTTTTCGATTTCTATGGAACTGTGTGTGTGAAATACTATCAGAATCTGTAAGCGAGAGCTTCTGAATGTAAACAAAGAACGCCCCGTCTGGTGACCCAAGCTTCAAAGCAGTGCTTCACTTTAGCGCGGAATGGCCCCTCCTCCCCTTTCCTACCTCCATGGGTTACGAACCACGTGCAGTGATGATAGGACACGTGTTTTGAGCTCCTTTGCCAATGCTTTATTTTTCTTCTTTTCTCCCCTTTCTAGGAATTTCATTCTGATGAATTGAGGGACCTTTGAGTTGTGCCTCGAAATCTTGAGTGTTTTAATATACTTACGCTGAAATACAAGGTTGTTATTGCGATTTGAATTGTCAACATTGGAGTGTTTCTCTTCTAGTTAGTTTAGCATATTTTAACGTTAAGTCACAGTAGATATAGTTTCAAGGCCTAACCCCTATTTATTTTTCTCTTAGTTTTGAAATAAAGAGTATTAAAGAATAAAATGTGTATAGCTTTCCCATAACAGAAGGACGTTTATCTGTTTACCATCCCATTTTCCAACCTGATTGGTACGGTGCTTAGTGCTCCTGGCTGTTGTATCGTTAGGCGCTCACTTGAAAGAGATGTGCTGAAAGAGTCCTTACAGCGGTACTTAATGCACAGGGTTCATGCCTAACAGGAGGGCACTTAAATTATACGATAAGCCGACGCGAAATTACTCTTGAGTGGTTGGTGGTAGGGAAAGCGGAGTGAAAGACCCACGAACCTATCTCCCAGTATCCCAGTTCTATCAAAACTGGGACGACGCTCAGCAAACTCGTAATATCCCCTATACAATGCTATCATGCCAATGACAGACGCAATCTTGCTTAGTTTTGTAGTGGCATTAGGTTATTTCGAAGCAGGAGAGATGAAAAATGTGCATTGCCCTCTCGTCGAGCATGCTGAACACTACACCACAAAGGCATGCTAAGAGGGGGGAGAAATACCTTATTGCTTGTCATGGAAAATTTCGCGGATTTGTTCTAATTAGGTCAACAAGGGCGATAAGTCACAGCAACATCTCAGTCTTTAATTTTTAATTACTAAGTTTTGCTCATTATCGCCTTCATTATCAGATTTCATAACTTGTATTTTCCTTTACTTGATAAATGTTTTCAGTGTCGTCTTCAAAACACTGAATTAAAGTTATTAGGAATTAAATAATGAAACTTATTAGTACATAGCTCAAATGAAAGAATATTAGAAACACTCCTGTATTCAAAAATTCTAGGAAAAGTCCTGCTACATGATGGTGAAACCTGAGAATGCCTGTCAGACAGCTTTTAGCATACTCTAGTTGAAACTTAATTTCCCAGTTTTGTTTCTCTAAGTTGATTTTCTCTGTTTTAAGGTAATAAAGAAGATTTAATTAAAGTTTCCTTATTCACGAATTCTTTTGATAATTCCTTAACAATTTATTTGTGAACTTGAGGCATTAAACTGTTGCCACCCAATGTTAGAGTCCAGCATTATATTTGAAGAAATTAAATAATGAAAAGTCTTCATAAATATATGTATATTTCTCGCATTGTGATAAAACAATGGTACATAGAGCCGTCGAATTTTGAATAACGTAATCCTACTGTGAATATGGGCATGTGGAAGCCCAAATTTGGAATTTGTTTTATTATCGATTTCACGTTTTGTAACACATCAACGAATTTTTAATTAACAAACTCAAGGATTTCAAAGCAAACAATGGCAATGCTGTACAGAAAAAACATTTTTATCTTCAACACGCGAGACTGCGTATCGGAAATTCAAAATATGCGCTCATTTTAAAATTATTTTGCGACATTGCTATTTGAACTGAAATTTATGGTTTAAGTGCGAAGAACATGATATTTAATAAATAAAGGTATCACACAAAACGTTAAAAAAACGCCCCTTTGGGCGTAATTAAAAATTTTATTTCAGATTTTTTTTTTGGGGGGGGCAATGTTTGCTTTTCCAAGCCAGTTTCAAGAATTCAAATATTTAACATCAGTTTCAATCAATACATATTTCTCATCTCATCTCATCACACACAAAAGAATTCTTTCGCTTCGAGTGATTGTAGGAATACATTAGTTATTCCATTCTTTCTAAGAATTAGACATAAAACTTAGTTTGTCTGCTCCTGCAATTTGACTTCATTTTATTATCTCATTTCGTTTTCTTTCTTTCTTTCTTTTCTTTTTTTTTATTCAATGTTTTTGTCTTCAGCGCAAATTTTTTATCAAGAATTCGAATGTCTAAGAACAGTTTCAATCAATACATATTTCTCATCCCATCTTATCACAGAAAGAAAAAAAATCTTTCGCTTCGAGTCATTGTAGGAATACATTTGTTATTCTATTCTTTCTAATAATGAATTGGACATAAATTTCCCATTTGTGTAGAACTATCTCTTCTTACTGATAAAATTCGCTTTTAAAATTTTTATCTAAAAAATCTTTCCTCTCTTACTGTCCTTAAAAATTATTTGTATTATGCAAGAACTTTCTTGTTATGATTATTATGATACAGGATTTTGAAAAAAAAAATTCATAAATCCTCTCTCTACTCCATCATCGCTGAGCAAAAGATCACATTTTTCTTTTCTCTGCAGTTTAAATTATGCAGAAAACTTTTTAATTTGACAAATCAGATTTTCTTGAAGCATATCACATCCATAAAAATACATATCGGTTCTGTTTAATAATTCCAATTTTAATCCTTCTTTAGCTAGCTTTAAAAAAAGATTTTTTTAAAATTGCGTTTCTTGTACTTTCCACTCAGTAGAAGGAGCTAT